GGCATCCCTGTGTACAGAAGTCATAGCAGACATGTGGAAACAGGCTAACATAGTTCCAATCTACAAAAATGGCAGCAGGGAAGACCCCCTCAATTATAGACCTGTATCATTGACAAGTGTAATAGTGAAAATATTGGAAAAAATAATAAAAACTAAATGGGTAGAACACCTGGAGAGAAATGATATAATATCAGACAGACAGTATGGTTTTCGATCTGGAAGATCCTGTGTATCGAATTTACTCAGTTTCTATGATCGAGCAACAGAGATTTTACAGGAAAGAGATGGCTGGGTTGACTGCATCTATCTGGACCTAAAAAAGGCTTTCGACAGAGTTCCACATAAGAGGTTGTTCTGGAAACTGGAAAATATTGGAGGGGTGACAGGTAAGCTTCTAACATGGATGAAAGATTTTCTGACTGATCGAAAAATGAGGGCAGTAATCATAGGCAATGTATCGGACTGGATAAATGTCACAAGTGGAGTACCACAGGGTTCAGTTCTTGCACCAGTGATGTTTATTGTCTACATAAATGATCTACCAGTTGGAATACAGAATTATATGAACATGTTTGCTGATGATGCTAAGATAATAGTGAAGATAACTTAGATGATTGTCATGCCTTTCAAGAAGACCTGGACAAAATAAGTATATGGAGCACCACTTGGCAAATGGAATTTAACACTTTTGTGCTCTTGGCAAACAATAAAAAAACCTTCGCCTTGTGTGCGCGGCATTTTGGGCTCTGGAGCAGCAACGCCGAAAAGTATATACTCTTTTCACTGTCCTGACATTAATTCTCGAGGTGCGTACCTCATTTTTGTACCAATGTGTTCGCAATAGAATGTTCTAGAAGAATTTATGTATAAAATGTCACACAAGGATGCGTTAGACCGGCACCAAATAAAGAACTACGTTGATCACTAGCCGTGAGCTTCAAACACCGACAAAATGTTTCTATTCTTTTCATTGTTGTCAACTCCACACTTGTCCTACAGCGTTAAATTTGGTATCACTGAGATCGCAATAAAATTCCCTACACGGACATATGCATATAAATGTAGAGTCATGATTGCTGCCAACCCGCAAGCGTGTGGGAAGTGCGCGTTACCGCACACCCGACGGCACATCGGCAAAACCCCTATTGAAAAGTGTATATTCCTTTCACTGTCCTGACCTTAATTTTCGATGTACGTATTTTATTTTTGTACCAATGTGTTTGCAATAGAATGTTCTAGAACAACACATGTATAAAACATCACACAAGGATGCATTAGACTGGCACCAAATAAAAAACTACGTCGATTACACTCATGTCAACAATACAATGGTCGTACCACGAAGATACAATACAATGCCTTTCTCCCAAATAGGCTAGGTGGCTATTAGAGAAAACGGAAATTTCATGGCAAACATGTTCATATGCAGGCGATGTGTCACAATAACGTGGCTGAAGTATGTTGACCAGACCACACACTAGAAGTTGAAGGGACGACGACGTTTCGGTCCGTCCTGGACCATTCTCAAGTCGATTGTGTTCATACTATCCCCAAGTTGATCGGATAAGAATTGGATTTTATAGAAATATTTGTTAATAAATGCCATGTTATGGAATGTGGAATAGGAGAACATAGACCCCACACAACCTATAAATTATGTGAGAAATCTTGAAAGAATTCTGATCAAGAAAGATCTAGGGATGGTTCTAGATAGAAAACTATCACCTGAGGACCACATAAAGAATGTTGTGCGAGGAGCCTATGCCACGCTTTCTAACTTCAGAATTGCTTTTAAATACATGGATGGCGAAATATTAAAGAAATTGTTCACGACTTTTGTTAGGCCAAAGCTGGAATATGCAGCAGTTGTGTGGTGCCCATATCTTAAAAAGTGCATCAACAAACTGGAAAAGGTGCAAAGACATGCTACTAAGTGGCTCCCAGAACTGAAGGGCAAGAACTACGAGGAGAGGTTAGAGGCATTAAATATGCCAAAACTAGAAGACAGAAGAAAAAGTGGTGATATGATCACTACGTACAAAATAGTAACAGGAATTGATAAAATCGATAGGGAAGATTTTTTAAGACCCGGAACTTCAAGAACAAGAGGATACAGATTTAAACTAACTAAACAAAGATGCCGAAGAAATATGAGAAAATTCACTTTCGTAAACAGAGTGGTAGACGGAACAAGTTAAGTGAGAAGGTGGTGGAGGCCAAAACTGTCAGTAGCTCCAGTGTTATATGACAAAGAGTGCTGGGAAGACGGGACACCACGAGCGTAGCTCTCATCCTGTAACTACACTTAGGTAATTACACTAAATGGGTTGGATGAAAACAAAATTTCTATGATAGCCAGGGAGACTCCATAACCTCATACACATCTACAAAGGAGAGGAAGGCTCAAAGCCTAAGAAGGCTGAGACTCCCAGAGGTAAAATCCAGGTTTTGCAGGAGGTACGTGAAGAGAGCCTCTTAAGCCACTGAAGGAGGGAATCCTTCAAAAGAATAATTCTGACGGGCCAAAGGCACAACGAACCAAGAAAGGAGGACATCAAAACCCCTCACCCTGCAAAAGGAGTACCCTCTGCAGAGGAAAGAAAGAACCACCTGAAGTCGAAAAGAGACCCAAGGGCCCATGACAGAAAAAGCGGAGTCTGGGGGAGGAGGCTTGAAAAAGAAAAAGAAAAGAAAGAGGGGGACTGGCTAGGAGCAGCGCCTCTGAATCTGAAGCTCGGACTGTCTAGCCAGCTCAACTGACTCCGCACCCGAATCAAAGGGACAACCCTCGGAGCTGGCAGAGCCACCTCATTCTGGAGACATTCATGTATCAACACGTCAAGCAGGCCACAAAAATGAGGGAAGGGGATGTTCCGTCTGTACTGTACCTAATATTCACCAGGAAAGAACTAGAGATATTTGAAATGCAGTACCTTCCTCCCTTGGGAATGAGTGATCATGTCCTGTTGGAAATTAAATATGCTTTGCGATATAATCTAGAAGAGAATGGGGACATTGAATCAGTTGATAAACTTGATTTCAAGAGAGGACACTATGTGGAACTTAGAAAATTCTTTAATGAGGTTAATTGGACAGACTTGCTGCTAAGCAAGTAAATGAGATGTATGCCCAATTTTGTGAGATATACAATAAAGGCACACAAACATTCATACCAAAACAGAGATGCAGGACCAGAAAACAAGATTGGTTCAACAGAAATTGTGAGAGGGGCCAGAGAGGAAAAGACAAGAAAATGGGTTTAATATCTGAAGAGGCCTGACCCGCAAACATACCAGCACTACAAGCAAACAAGAAACAATTGCACAGCAGTGAGGAGAGAGACAGAAAGGAACTTTGAGAAAGGTATAGCAGACAAATGTAAAACAGATCCTTTTTTTTCCAGATCCAGGCCTTTTCTATAAGTTCCCAGCAGAATTGTGGACCTTGGAGTAAACAGAAAGGTGACCAGCAGCATGTATCAAAACTAAGTAAATACAAAGAAAAGCCACAAGAGCAAGAGTGGCTGCAGACTCAGAGAGGAGGGCAAATACCTCCTCCAACATAACTAGCAGGAAAACTACCAGCACCCAACACATACACAAAAAACCATCTGTTGGCGAATGAACTTGGAACTCCACACCAACTCCTGACCTTGGGGAAATATGGCAAAAGGTGGACCTCTTCAGGAATGCAATTAAATAAGTTCCTGCAAGTAGTGCCGGACCAATTGAGTTATAGTGAATATGTGGGCCTGCGGGTCGCTCCAAGCAATAGCCTGCTGGACCCATCACCGCAGGTTAGGCATGACTCCAGGCCGGGCTTGGGAATAGAAGAATTCCTGGAGCCATGTGCAGGTAAACGCCAGGTAATAAGCTGCCACCAGAGGAGGAGGAGGCAGCAACAAACCCGTAGGAGGCCTCCAGAAAGAAACAAACCCGTAGGAGGCCTCCAGAAAGAAACAAACCCGTAGGAGGCCTCCAGTAAGGAACAAACCCGTAGGAGGCCTCCAGAAAGAAACAAACCCATAGGAGGCCTCCAGAAAGAAACAAACCCGTAGGAGGCCTCCAGAAAGAAACAAACCCGTAGGAGGCCTCCAGTAAGGAACAAACCCGTAGGAGGCCTCCAGAAAGAAACAAACCCGTAGGAGGCCTCCAGAAAGAAACAAACCCGTAGGAGGCCTCCAGTAAGAAACAAACCCGTAGGAGGCCTCCAGTAAGGAACAAACCCGTAGGAGGCCTCCAGAAAGAAACAAACCCGTAGGAGGCCTCCAGAAAGAAACAAACCCATAGGAGGCCTCCAGAAAGAAACAAACCCGTAGGAGGCCTCCAGTAAGGAACAAACCCGTAGGAGGCCTCCAGAAAGAAACAAACCCGTAGGAGGCCTCCAGAAAGAAACAAACCCGTAGGAGGCCTCCAGAAAGAAACAAACCCGTAGGAGGCCTCCAGAAAGAAACAAACCCGTAGGAGGCCTCCAGAAAGAAACAAACCCGTAGGAGGCCTCCAGAAAGAAACAAACCCGTAGGAGGCCTCCAGAAAGAAACAAACCCGTAGGAGGCCTCCAGAAAGAAACAAACCCGTAGGAGGCCTCCAGAAAGAAACAAACCCGTAGGAGGCCTCCAGAAAGAAACAAACCCGTAGGAGGCCTCCAGAAACAAACAAACCCCTCACCTGGCCCAACCACCAGTCTCCATGCAGGAACTGAAGCACATGCACTATCCAGAGTGAAGCCTCACCAGAAAAAATTAAGGTTCAGCTGTGCCAGAGCTCAGTACTGGGAGAAACCAACATGTTCTTCACAGAAAAGCAGAGTGTGGGGTTCGCACAGTTAAATTACGGTACTGTATAGTATAAAATATTCAATCTGCATAAAGTATGTGACATTTGTGGAAAACAGTACAGTACAGTACTGTAAAAAACAGTACTTTGCTGTGATAAATATCATATGATACAGAGAAATATAAAAAATCAACTACAGCTTAAAACCCAACAAAAAATCATTACCATCAGGTAGGTCCTGCTTATTTGCAAATACAAGTATAATGGCATCCCTCATCTCCCGATCATTAATAATTCGATGAAGTTCTTGTCTGGCTTCATCCACTCGGTCACGGTCGGCACAGTCAACAACAAATATAAGCCCTTGTGTGCCTGTATAATAATGTCTCCACAATGGCCGGATTTTGTCTTGTCCGCCAACATCCTGGGGAGAGAACAATCAACTTGAAGGATATGTTTACGACCGAATTAATTACAAATTCTTACTACATTACTAACAATTTATACGTTAAACAACGGCATGGAAGGTATGAGATTATGCATTTGATTAAATCAGAAAAATGTTTAAACCAATACATATAGAAGAGGCACACAAACAACAACCATTTAATGTAAATAAAATACCAATTTCTGGGTACATCCAAGTGACTTCCTGAAGCTACCATCTCTGATGTAGGTGGCATCAGATGTGGAGTTCTCTGGCCTACCGGGGACCCAGAGTCAGAACCTGGGTCCCTTCACAGAGGCACAAGTAGCTCTGTCATTTATATACAGTGGTACCTTCATTTACGAATTTAATTAGTTCCTAGAGATGGTTCCTCAATCAAAAATTCTTAAACCGAAACAAATTTTTCCATAAGAATTAATGTAAATTGAATTAAAAATAAGAAAACAGCATTGAATGTAATGAAATGCCATTTTCTGGGTGAGCCCTGGAGGCTCCCTGGAGCTATCGGGCTAATATGTGATACATTACACCAGGGCACTAGTCAATAGAGTTCAGCCAACTGGGGACCACAATCCAGAATCTGGCTCTCTTAAAGAGGCACAGAGAGCAGTGGCCCCCTGGAAAACCCACCTGTGTTTGGAGGTTTTCCTTATCTGCCATCAACCGGGATTAGGCACCTAGAAAGGTAGACATTACAAAATAACCCCCCCCCACACATGGCAAAAAATTTGCATCCGAAAATCTTGCAGAGAGGCAGAATTCCCTTAACTCCCAAGGAAACGAGCAAATGTCACACCTCAATGCCACACTACTTGTCCACACAGCCCTCCCCCTCTCTGGGAGGAGTAGGAGGGAAATGCAAAAACTGCCAACTGGAGGGTGCCAGGGAGCCTCTGGGACATACCCAGAAAATGGCGTTTCATTACATTCAACGCTGGTTTCCTATGGGAGTGTCCCTCCTGCTCCCTGGAGCTACATAACCATAGATAAGGAAAAGGAGGGATTTACCCGGGAGGCGGCCGCCATACGCTCCTCAACTCAAAGGCAAGACAACTGGCTGCTACCTGCGACCCAAAGCCACACACGAATGCCCAAGACCTCTGTTTTTCAATGGGATGGTTCAACCCAAAGCACATCCCATCCCAACCCATTGAAAAACAGAGGTGCAACAGGTACTCTGAGAGAGAACTCTATCAACATCAGAGGCCCGAGACTGTTCAACACACTTCCACTACACATAAGGGGCATAACTGGCTGACCCCGTGCAGTGTTTAAGAGAGAACTGGATAAGCACCTAAGAATACCTGATCAACCAGGCTGAGAGTCATACAACAGGCTGCGAGCAGCCGCATCAAACAGCCTGATTGACCAGTCCAGCAACGAGGAGGCTTGGTCAACAACCGGGCCGCGGGGACGCTAAGCCCCAGAAACGACTCCAAGGTAACTCCAAGGTATCCCCGGCCACAGAATCCGAAGCGTGCAGGTAACGGTGAAGAGCCGCAACAAAACAACACATAATGCACCCATGACCTGACCAACCAAGCATCAATGACCCAAGGATCCCTCCAGAAAGCAGCCATCTCGTTTTTAGCCAGAAAAGAAGAAGGCTGCAACCAAACTGATTACCAGGTCCTGGTAATCAGGAAACATGGTAATCAAAAAGCAGAAACTCCTGCACCGGCGGAGAGCGTGAAGCTTACCAACCCGACCCGAGGCCAACGCCAACAGAAAGAGAGCCTTGGGAAAAACAATTTTGAACCGAAGGAGCCACCATGAACTGAGGAGGAGATAGAGCAAGCACCCTGTCCAAGGACCAGGATGGCTCAGGCGGCACATGAGCAGGTAGAAGGTGAAACAAAGCACGAGAAAGTTTACGGAACGGGGTAGAAGTGACATCTACCCCAAACGCAAGCTGGAGCGGCTCCGCCTGCTCCACGATATGAGGCGACAATATTTGGCATCAAGTGACTGTCCTGAAACAGCCAAGAAAGAAAGGACAAGACAACCTGATCAGAAATAGAGGACAACATATGAAGAGAGAGAGAAAATGGTGGAAAGAATGCCAAGAAACTTCATACTGTTGCTGAGACGAAGCTCTTAGGTGGGACACTATCAACGAAGCCACCTGATCACCATACAAATGGTGATAAACTCACGTCAAAAAGACCAAATGCGAAGAGCTGAGGAGGAAGACTGAACTAGCCATGTAACAGACCGGTCCGATCTACTGGAAGAGGGGAAGCAGCGGACACTAGACACTATTCGGACACGGTTCGGACACCAAGTAAGGGGCGCCTGAAACCAAGGCTGGGCCAGCCACCAAGGGGCCACAAGGACTACTCCCCATTGGTAAGACTCCAACTCAGCCAGAACCCGAAGCAACAGCAGGACCGGGGAAACCACAAAGGTTCCGCAGTCGGGGAAGGCTGCCACATAGATCGGAAGACACGAGACATCGCCGACGTGAAGAGGTCCACCTCCGGGAGCTTGTACGTCCGCCAGAGCCAACGGAAGGAGTCGGCATCAACGGTCCATTCCGTGGGCAGGGGGAATGAACCAAGACAGGCTGTCTGCCAGGACGTTGGACACTCCCCAAATATGAACCACATGGAAAGCCAAGCCCTGAGAAACCAGCTGATGAGCCATTCGAAGCAACCAGCCCCAAAGATGCAAGGACCAAAGGGAACCCCCACGGTTCAGGCAATGAACCAATGGAGAACAGTTCAAATGGAGCCAAATGGTCAAACCCCTTACCTTACCTTAAGGTAAGGGCAGGTGTACATGTATACCACAATTACTGCTGCAAAGGGTTCTCCATCAGCTTTGGGTTGTTTTTAATGAGGTGGTCAGTAGTCTTCTTTGTTTTATAGAACATGATTACGTCTCTGTTTTGGTTAGGAGTTGTGCTTTTTACATCTTTATTGATTAGTTCTTTCATTATTCTTACTTCTTTTTCAAGTTTACTGTGCATGGTTTATTTGTAATATAATTTTATTGGAAGTGTTCTTGTAAAAAAAAAAAAAATATATATATATATTACAAATCAACCATGGAACAGGGAACATACCTGGTTACCTGGTTGATACCTGGTTGATGGGGTTCTGGGAGTTCTTCTACTCCCCAAGCCCGGCCCGAGGCCAGGCTCGACTTGTGAGAGTTTGGTCCACCAGGCTGTTGCTTGGAGCGGCCCGCAGGGCCACGTACCCACCACAGCCCGGCTGATCCGGAACTTCTCTTAGAAAACCGTCCAGTTTTCTCTTGAAGATGTCCACGGTTGTTCCGGCAATATTTCTTATGCTCGCTGGGAGGACGTTGAACAACCGCGGACCCCTGATGTTTATACAGTGCTCTCTGATTGTGCCTATGACACCTCTGCTCTTCACAGGTTCAATCTTGCATTTTCTTCCATATCGTTCACTCCAGTACGTTGTTATTTTACTGTGTAGATTTGGGACCTGACCCTCCAGTATTTTCCAGGTGTATATTATTTGGTATCTCTCTCGTCTCCTTTCTAGAGAGTACATTTGGAGAGCTTTGAGACGATCCCAATAATTTAGGTGTTTTATCTCGTCTATGCGTGCCGTATATGTTCTCTGTATTCCCTCTATTTCAGCAATCTCTCCTGCTCTGAAGGGGGAAGTGAGTACTGAGCAGTACTCGAGACGGGACAGCACAAGTGACTTGAAGAGTACAACCATTGTGATGGGATCCCTGGATTTGAAAGTTCTCGTAATCCATCCGATCATTTTTCTGGCTGACGCGATATTTGCTTGGTTATGCTCCCTAAACGTTAGATCGTCGGACATCATTATTCCCAAATCCTTGACATGCTGTTTTCCTACTATGGGAAGATTCGATTGTGTTTTGTACCCTGTATTATGTTTCAGATCCTCATTTTTGCCGTACCTGAGTACCTGAAATTTATCACTGTTAAACATCATGTTATTTTCTGCTGCCCAATCAAAAACTTTGTTGACATCTGCTTGTAGTTTTTCAATGTCTTCAGCAGATGTAATTTTCATGCTGATTTTTGTGTCATCTGCAAAGGACGACACGAAGCTGTGGCGTGTATTTTTGTCTATATCAGATATGAGAATAAGGAACAGTAGCGGTGCAAGGACTGTACCTTGAGGTACAGAGCTTTTAACATCGCTTGGACTCGATTTTATCTGATTGACTGTTACTCTTTGTGTTCTGTTCGACAGGAAATTGAGTATCCAGCGTCCTACTTTTCCAGTTATTCCCATTGACCTCATTTTGTGAGCTATCACCCCATGGTCACATTTGTCGAACGCCTTTGCAAAGTCTGTGTATACAACATCTGCATTTTGCTTTTCTTCTAGGGCTTCTGTGATTTTGTCATAGTGGTTGAGTAACTGTGACAGACAGGATCTTCCCGCTCTAAATCCATGTTGTCCTGGATTGTGCAATTCATTGTTTTCCATAAAACTAGAAATTTGATTCCTAATCACTCTTTCAAACACTTTTATTATGTGTGATGTTAGTGCAACTGGCCTATAATTTTTTGCCAAGGCTTTACTCCCCCCCTTGTGCAACGGAGCTATATCTGCAGATTTAAATGCTGCTGGTATCTCCCCTGTATCCAGGCTCTTTCTCCATATTACGCTGAGTGCTCTCGCTACTGGTACTTTACATTTCTTTATGAATATTGAATTCCATGAGTCAGGCCCAGGAGCTGAGTGCATAGGCATATTATCAATTTCTCTTTCAAAGTCTTCCGAGTTTGTGGTAATATCCGTTATATTATCTGCAGCTTGAATGTCATTCATAAAGAAGCTGTCTGGGTCATCAACTTTCATGTTGTTTATTGGGGTGCTAAACATAGCCTCATACTGGCTTCTTAGAATTTCCGGTGTAGAAGTGCACAGCACCGCTGTGCAGCTTGGGGCCACACTATGGAGACTATGGAGTTGTGCTCTGGTTGTCGGTCTGGAGTGGCCTCTCCAGGGCGCAAA